AGTCTCACAATCATCCTCCACCACTGCCTGGCACTCAAACTCGCATTCAAATTCGCATTCGCGCCAACTTGCAACTCCAGGAACTCGCAACCGAAGAATAACGCTCTCGCACTTGTGTTCCTACCCTAGCGCATCGCTTCCTTGTGCTGCCCAGCTCTCCGCGCTTCTTCCATCATGAGCGACGATAGCAATGAGGCAGCAGCATCAAGCTCTTCCCTCTCACCCACCCGCGCGCGCCCTTCCAACTCCTACCGACCGCGCGCGCACCTCTCTTTTCCCCAAGCAGCTCAACCGCACCTGGTCCGCGCCGCCCAAAAAGATCTCTACTACCTCTCCACCCTGCAATCCCAATTCCACGAAGTAGCGCGAGGTATCCTAGGTTCTCGCGCTTTGCACACCCACGCCGATCTCATCGCAGCTGGCGCAAAGTTGGCTTACTTTGTCGTTGCTACGATGGGTGGAGCTCAGACGCTTGGCGAAGAGTATGTCAATGCGGTATTGGCCGGTCCAAATGGCAAAGTCGTCACCAGAAAGGTGAGTGTCAGTGCCTTTTGTGTCAAGATGCCCCATCACTCGAGCACAACTGATCATTCGTTTGCGTGCCATTTCGACTTGGACAGCGTCGACTGCTGTTCATATCCCTGCACATCCTACTCCCACTCCTCTCTGTTCAAATCTACACTTTTCTCTCCCAACTGCTAGCACGTCTGCAAGCTCAGCGTCAAGCGGCGCTTCATCGAGCACGTCTACGCGCTCAAGCCACGCGCTCGCAATCCGCTCCTCTTCCCTCCTTGACGGATCGAGCGATCAGTCTGGCATCCAAGGCGCTGCCCACGGATGGCTTGCAAAAGACAAGGGATTGGCTCGCTTGGATCGCAAGCGCTCATTTGGCCATCTTTTACATCACTGGAAAGTATCACAGTGTGGGTCAAAGAGTCGCAAAGGTGCAATATGTGAGTCCGTATGCGCAAGTGTGTGTGTGTGTGTCGCGCATGTGTGTGTGTATGTCTTCACATGTTGGCGCCACTGCGTAACTGTGCTCATGTTCGAGTGTCACCCCCGGCACGCGCATTCACGCTCCCTTGCCTCGTGCACAGATCTCGACCATCCCTCGAAGACCCGGTTCTCGTCCGCCTTCCTACGAAGTGTTGGGTGTTTTGTTGGGCATTCAGATCGGCGTCAAGTCTCTGATATCCCTCTTGAAATGGAGACGGGAACGACGAGAAGCTTCTTTGCGATCAGGGCACGAAGAGGCGCACGGCGGCGGCGGCGGCGCATCATCCTCGAGCAGCGCAGCGGGTACGACGACGAATGACCAGTTGGTCAGGTTGGACGAGACGAGCTGGTCGCACGCCAGCGTTCCGGCCAAGCGCACCGACATTTCCATCCAAGCCGGCGGAGCAGCAGCCGTCGTGCTACCTCTGGGCAGCGCGTACGGCGCAGAAGGGCAAGGGGAGGAGGGGGATGCGCAGGTTGGAGATGGGGATGGGCAAGCAGACGAACCTCGAGGAAGTAGCGTACCGCTAGTCTATCCCGATCCCGACGCTCTTCCGAGCGCATCTTCGTTGGGCCTAGCGAGCAGTGCGGATAGGAGCACCTTGGACGCTCTCAGAGCTGCTGCGAGGGGTAAAGCTGCAGAGTTGGAGAGCGTTTCGCAAGGGATTAGGAGGTGCACGCTTTGCATGGAGAGCAGAGCGCCGCAAAAGGGCTCGAGCGCGGTGACGGAGTGCGGACATGTGTTTTGTTGGGTTTGCATCTTGGGCTGGTTGAGAGAAAAGGTGAGTAGAGAGAGAGCGCGCGCGCGCGTGCGAGAGTGAGAGAGGGGAGAGAAGAGAGATGTTTGTCCAAATTCTTGCGAGCCTGGGGGAGAAAGAGGGGAGCGAATTTGGCATCGCCTGATTTGCCACATCGCATCTTCCATCATCGCTCATGCCCTTGCCCTCGTCACACGAATCTTAGCCCGAGTGTCCCCTCTGCAGACAACATCTCAACCCTTCGCACGTCTTGCCCATCTACAACTTCTAAAACCGAGCGGCAGCAAGACCATAGTGTACCGAACCGATGCATACCAAAGCGCAAATGTAAAATGTAAATGCTCTCCTCCTCTTCTCAACTCCACAGTCCCCCACTCGCTGCTCACACTCGGACCGCTAGCCAGTGAATCAAAAGATCAGAATCGAAGAATCACATTTATATTACATTACAATTGTCTTCGAGAAGCCCAGATGGCAGGCGGTGGTAGACCAGTGCCACCGTTGCTCGTGTGTGCGCGTTCGTTGTCGAAGGCTGAGAAGGAGGAGGAGGAGGAGGAAGAGGTACTGGCGGGCGCGTGACGTGTACGATTGTGCTCTGCTAGCGTGTTTGTGGAGGAGGAGGAGGAGGAGGAGGAAATGGAATGGTGCATCGCACTTGTATGATGCAAAGACGAGTTGACGTTCGAGAGGTTGGAAGGAGAAGAAGGGGCCGTTTCTCGGTGAGAAAAGTGAGAAAGAGGGTTGAGCTTGTCAAAGAATTGGCTTGCGCGATTCTTTACGCTC